GTGTAACGGATTGACCCGGGACGACCCATCACGGGTGCAACGGACCGGCCCTGGACGGTCCGTGACACCCGTCTGGATTCCTAGACTTTGCCGTCTGGATTCCTGGACTGTCCCGAGATGTTCAGCCGGGTTTTCCCGGACTGTTCCGGGACAACCAGGAACCCCATCCTTTACAACAGATCCATCAATGAATCTGGTCCGGAAATTCGAGTACGTAGGAAGAAGCTTTGAGCAATTGGTGGCCTTTGTTCGGCATCCTATATGTTTTTGTACTTGTGGTGGGTTAGATTCCACAATCGCTATTCAGGACACTACCATCATCATTGACTCGAGTCTTCGCATCCGTTTGTTGTTTGGAAACTAAAACTCCTGCATTGCCTTCCGCGGCCTATGGCTGGGCAACGGGAACACAAGACGGAACGCATCAACCAACATCTACACGTGCCAGGTGCCCCAAACAAAAGATGGTGCATGCCCGTGGCCCGTGGACAAGCTCAAGTCTCAAAGCTCGAGGACTGCCCAAAGGGCTGACAATCACCAGCGCGAGAAGCAGCACTGCGCCAGTACCACAGCAGTTGCAAACACTGCAAAGGCAGCAGCGCCTGCCATTGATTGCTGCAAATTCTTGGGCCACGGACACTGGATCGCTCAAGGATAGGCTGAATCCACCTGGGTTCCAATGCCAATTGAAAAACAGCTACTGTCATACCATACATTTATCCAGTCTCTCGCTTGAGCCGCTTGGCGACTTGAGCCAAAGCGGCTCTCTCAATTTGTAAAAGCCGCCTTCAGACTTGAGCCAATGCGGTTCTCTGAACGAAATAATTTTTTTCAATTTCCAGACTCGTCTTCCCACTTCCCCACCCTCCCACCCCCTCTCCAACCCTTTACCTCAGACGCTACGATGCTTCCGAACGCTTCCCATTTGCCTGTGAGACTTGGCTCACGCCATCAATCATTGCTGTGAGCTTGTTCTCGCCGGGAAAACGGATTTTGCGCAGCGCCCCCAAAGTCTTGAAAGTCCAGCAACTTCATGACGGACTAGGTAGGGCTCGAAAATCTGTAGCGGAAAAAGGCTGAGCATTCCAAAGCCTGATCGTTAACCGCGCGCACTGCCCAAACATTCTCATCATAGCACGGCTGTGTACCAGCCACAAGGCCCATACGTTCCAAAGAATGCGCCGCACAAGGTGACCGCGCCTTGCGGAAGCTGTAACGGACAAGGGCCGTGCATTCCCAAAGCTTGTAACAAACAGCGGTTGGTGCAATCCCACAGCTTGTAACAGACAAGGGCGGTATGTTCCCAACACCTGTAACAGATGGGGGCATTGCATTCCCAAAGCTTGTAACGGACAGGCGCCCGTGCGTTACCAAAACTTGTAACGGACCATTCCTGGGAGAGATGTTGCCCAGACATTCCCGGCATAGCATTGGTCGCGAAAACATGCTAGAGCTAAAACCTAACCTTAGTGGCTATAACGCATAGGGATATATTTGGCCCCGCCATTGTGCATGGACATTCCTCAATCGCTGAGCTGAGCTGTGAGTTACCACAATCGAGTCAAAAGAACGCTTGAGCGTCGGGTTGCTGGAAAGTGATATTGATCCAACCAGTTGACCTTTTACAAAAAGTGCGCTGTCATTTTCCCTTTGCTGAGGGTGGGAGGATTGGAAATGCTTTGCGACGAACATGCCCACCAGTGCGATCCTCCGGGAAAACGTGGACCAAAGAACCTGTGCGAGGGGTCAGGGCTTAGCCCCGGCAGGGCCTTAGGGTTCTGCATACCCCATATAAGGAAGAGAGAGAGGTCATGACGGCAGAAGATGAATGACAACTGCGAGAACATGGGCAAGAACTACGTGACCAGCTTGATGCCGAGCATTGTTATGCCACGTGGAAGGACATGCCCAAGCAGTTAGCTCCGTAGAAATGCCAATGGAGACGGTTTCGGAACCAGCGGAGTTTCAATGTCCAGCTGCGGCCGAGCCACCTGCTGAACCACGCGCAGCCCCAGTACGCCATGAAGGTGATGAAGGCATTGATGACTGAAGACGAACCACGAGACCTCCTGACATAGTTTGTTCTTTGAGGGACTGAAATAACCTTCTGAAAGATGTACAATGCAGAACCGACTTGTGTCACTGTAAAACGCACGCTTCCACAACCTTTAGCTTGGCTTGTGAACTTGTAACATTTTCCTTTCTTCTCATTTCCCAAAGTACCGTGGCGGTATGACCGGACGTTTCCCAGACAAACAGCAAATTCTGACAACATTGCCACTGGAACCAGTCGCACAGACGCATCCTTGTTTAGCTCCGCTGGTTTCATGCACCCTTTTGTTTTTTAATGTTGTTTACGGTTGCTTACCGTCTTCCACGACTGCGTTGTGGCAAAGGAGCCAGGGCAAGCTGTCCCGTTAAGAAACAAGAAGCGTCCTGTAGCATCATTTTGATTTTAGGCTCCTGTCAGACGGAAACCCTGCCAAAATTGCCGCAGGAACCGGAAATGCTTGTAACGCACGATTGGTATTGTCATTTTTGTTAACGCTTGTGTTTGCTGTTGTTTACTTCCTTCCACGAGTACTTTATGAGAACGGAATCAGGGCAAATTGTTTCACAATGTAAGCAAGTGACACCACGACTTGAGGGGGGGCCTTAACTTAACGTCCGGTGGACACCCACCATCCCCCTGGACCCAAGCCGAAGCCAAAAGAGTTCATGAAGTGGAATTCTGGTGAATCATGCAAAATTGTTGTGTTTCCTTCTCAGCCTTCAGTGCCGAGCGTGGTTCCAGAAGGCCGTGACCCAGGAAAAGGAGACAAAAGGGGTCCACTTTACGTACGGCCCCCCACGAGGACAACATTCTGAAGACGATGACAAAATTGTTTGCACAGGCCTGAAGCCAAAACAATGCGTGAAGACGAAATTGAACGAGGAAAATCGGCCCTGCCGCGCCCGAAGATGAAATCAGGCACGAAATGGCCCCAGAATCCCACGACGAAATGAAGCGAGAGGACAAAAATTCGGCCCTGAGGACAAGACGTGGCGAGATTGCCCCTGCAAATGAGATTTGCCCCTGAGAACAAGATTCGGCCCCCGAAGACGATATTCAGCCCCAAAAACGAAAACGCGCGGATCTATCATACTTTACATCATGGGAGGATGGGGTTATCATGTACAAGGCCACAAGACCAAGGGCAAACAAATAAAATACTCCCGGTGAAAGTCCTAGAGCAAACCCTGCATTCCTCCGTAAAAATAACTCTTGTCCGAGGAAAGGGGGGATGGGGCAGCCTGTAAAATCATCCCGCACTCAAATCCCAGTACAACATGTTTTGAAAGAAACGCAAGACAATCCCTCAAACTCCCTGTTTTGGATCCGCGCAGGCTCTCTGTCTCACAGCCCTGCCACAACAGCTATCTATTTGATTGTTACGGATTTATGTGCAATTCTTATACATTTCAGCGGTTGAGAGCCACAGGTTGGACACACGGATCAGGAGTGGTGTTATCCATCCATACCAGGCAGTTTGAAACATGAGTGAGTTTGCCCGGAAATGCATTGAGAGCATTAAAACAGCAGTGGTGGATCTGATGATGACCAGCTGGCACGTCTGCTTCAAGATTGGAAACATGTTTAACCCTGGCATCAACCACGTCCCCCCGTCCACCCCCCGCCCCTAATCTAAAATATACTAGAGGGTCACTTCTTAAAAGATTTAGATAGGGCTTCTGTTGAATTTCTTTTAAACTCCATGGGAACTGAATCGTGACCTGCAATCTTTCATGGGGGTCTTTGAGAAACATGATATGCAGGTATGATTCAATTATTATGCAGGTACATGTAGCATGGGAATGGCAAGTCTCACACTTTTTTCTCCCAGTACAGAAAATCAAAGTAGTTCTAGTCTTCCGACTCTTCTCTTGTTCTCATGTGTCGGCTCGAGTAGTGCTCGGGTCACATGAGCCATAGTCTAAACTCTCTAAGAGATTATCTAGGGGATTATATAGGGGACTGCTATAGGGATCATTGAGGGGCATACTAGGAGTTTATACTCTGGCTCGCATAATATTTGACAATGTTTTTTCGCTGCTCGGAGCCGAGTGAGGGCTTCTGAGACAGTCGAAATCTAAAAATCTAGAAGCTGAAATCCCTAATAGCTGAGGATGATCAGCCGCGGCGTGTACTGTGTCTTCGGTGCTTCACCGTGAATGTCTCACCTCAAGACTGGCCAGAAAAGAAGTCAGTTGTAGCGCACAGGCATTGCGTGAATGCCGGACATGGCCAAAAGTCAAATGCTTGCACACTGGAAACTGCAGAAGAAAGAGCAGTACAAGTAGTATTCAGCATTGCGTTGCAGACGCATCGTTGAGCAGTCTGAGTTTTGAGTTGGTAGACTCTTGAGCAGGGACATCCCTTGTCATGGGTCGCAAGCAATCTGAGGTACCATTGAAGTGCAGGTGGAAGCGCAAAATTGGTGACCTTCCTGTTGAAATCCCCGGCGTCACTTCAAACATGTTGGGAGCCTGGAATCCAGAACAATCGGGAAGGGCACAACAAACTTGGCAAGCTGCTCAGGTACCAGATCTCTGCTGATGATGTTGGGACTGACATATCCGTCGAAGCACTGTGCCCAGACTGTAGGAAGCACGCCTGTCTGCACATCAATTGAAGTGTGCGCGGCGCGGCACGCTCCAGAGCTGTAGGCGCAGCCAGCTGATTTCGATGACGGCCATCATGGCATCGTGATCGGAGAGGCGATGATCTAGAGTTAGAAGAGCTGGCTTGGAGTTTGTTGAACATTCAGATTGGTCCCTTCGAGCTCGACCCAGCCACCAGACGCAGCCTGGACAATGCACTCGGCCTGGGAGGAAGCAGGCCAGCTTGTAGTGATCATGAGAGGCATCCAGTCATAACCATGATAAAAGCATTGCCTCATATTGCTTCCTGTCTTCAGTCAAACACATGTCCCCTTCACCTGCAGCTGAAACGCAGAAAATCAGTCTGCAGCTATAGAACCTACAACACAACATGTTGGTCGGGCTTCCTGGCTGATCCCCAAAATTCATTGTGTGGAGTCCGTTTCGCTGACAGTATCCGCGTGCAGCCAAACAAACAAATGGCTGCTAAGGCCAACGACTTGTTTCATCTTTGCGCAGAGAGAAGGTGAAGGCGAAACTGAATTCTCGTAAGATGGCTTCCCGCTAGCAATCGCTACAGTATTAAACGACGTCCCCCCCAACATTAAGCAATTAGTGTCCCGGAAAAATGCAATATTGGGGAACATGATTTGTTGAAAGAATTGGATGTAGAACTTTCTCTGTTAAAGCTCTTTTAGAATCCTTATACAGCCGGATGAAAACCAATCAGCAGTTAAATCTAATTAGGAAGCATTCAAACGTGATAAAAGCCAACTAAAATCCAACTGTAAGCAAATGAAGTCAATTGAACATCTAGTGAAAAAGCATTGACATGTACTACAAGCCAAGTGAGGTCTTCAATGGAACTTTCCATTGACAAGGATTGAAATCCAATTGCAATCCTATGAAGATCCACGCAAAAAAGGCAATAATAAATTAACATCTACTTGAATCATTGAAAACCTAACCCAAACCAATTGAAGATTCAACTTCAACCAGTTGACATCCGATTAAGATCAATCGAAAGTGTAGCCGAGAACGGATTACAACCAAATGAAGGTCATTTGAAACCCACTTAAAGAAAATGCAAAGATGTCATAGTCAAAGTACAATTAAAACCAGTGGGGATCCAACTGAAATCCAGTTAAAATCTCGGCAAACTCACTTGAACATCTAGCTAAAACCAATCTTAAACCCAAGTGAAACAAATTGAAGTGCAATCAACCTCAGTTAGAACAGTTTATTTAAATCACGCGAAGCCGCAGTTAGTTTTTTTTTTAATGAACTCCTATATACGTTTTATAAACATATAAAACAGCAAAAGCCTAGGGAACAAGGGATCCCCAATTCCTTTGATTATGACTTCAGGGCTGCCCTAATTCAGAAAGTAATCGGGCTGCCTTATAAGTTTTTGCGGGAAATTGGCGAGACTTCACTCTGGAAGTACTTGAGCCGCGGCCACAAACCCCTCCGCGGAAATTTACAGAACCGTTAACGTAGTGATTGGCGGCGTCAGCTCTTATGATGTGGGGATGGTGCGCGACACTGAATCGTGAGCATTCTCATGGTGAGCGTGTTGAGACAGCTAGTGTTCCAGTACGGCTCGGCTCTGCAAGGTGAGCATCTATCCTCTTTCGTTCAATATGGGGTTCCGTGGGTTGTGCATAATGCAATGTTGCAGAAATGCGTGTGCATCACCTATTCCAGGCGATAGAGCCACAAGCCAACACCAAAGGTTCTGAGAGTTTAGGCCATGGCTCACATGGCTTATCTAACTTGCTCGTGCCACTATTGCGAGAGCATGCGACAGCGAGGCGACTTGGATCACAGACTGAGATAGTTCTCGAATTGGTGCTTCTTTGGTTCATGTCGAACAAAGAACTCAAAAGCTTCGTCTGGCATTCGTAGGCTTTCGTTACGTGCAGTGGGGCCCTCCCGGACCCAGCGAACCCCCTCGCTACAGAGGGATTGTCCCGAGATCCCCCAAAAATCAACATGTGTCAGCATCATGAGCGCGGACCGTTTTGAAAACTGGCCCCAAGCCCGTGTTGGGGTAGGGTATGGTAGGGCCGAGAAAAATGATGACTCTATGATGGGTTATTGGGTACAGGGGAGGCCAAACATTGAGAGACGATGCTGGCCAACGGGGCCAGCATCATCAGCATCATTGGTGTCTGTGCCTGCCGAAAATCCATTGTTTGGTTTGGTTACGAAAAATGCTACACATCCGGGCCCAGGGTATGCCCCCGAGCAGTTTGTCCCATTATGTTTCCTGCATTATACTGTCATTCACCACTACCATTCCGACCAAACTTGCTTCTACTATGAGGTACTTCCTGTCCTGTTACTTGCTTCCCTGTACTCTTGCTATCGCTGTTTTTGCTATGGACTCCGAAGGCGGCAGGGCCGGCCCAGCATCGTCGGACCTCCGTTTCTCCAAGAACCTTTCAGATGCTTCCTGAGCTTCCTCCAGCTACGGAGTGATTTTTGAAGGCTTTTTGGAAAAACCTTGGGAAAAAACTAGCTCCGAGGCCCGTCTTGGGCTAGCTGAGAAAAATGTAGACCTGAAGAGAAGCCATTGCGTCCAGGGGAGCCCAAAAAATGGAGAAATGTACCCCAACGATCCTTGGCGAGCATCATTGGAAGTCCGCTATCCAAGCTTCTGGGCTTCAGGCATGACAGGGTTGATGAAGGTTAGTTTGGATGCTGGAACCACGTCTTTCTGAATTTCATGATGGGTTGACACGCGACAGGAAGACGAGGGTCCAATAAAAAGACAGTTACGAGGATCGCGCCCCCAACACGCCCCATCCCCGTGACAAGTCCATAAGTGAGCGACAGTTGACGAGGATGGCGACCCCCAGGCGCCCCATTGGGGCGCCTTTTGACACTCTGCAAGAAAACCGGAGTCATCCGGAGTCCATAAGCGACGACAGTTACAAGGACACGCCCCCATCCCTGTGACAATTGGCATTTTTGACAGCCGACAGGAAGACGAGGGCCCAAAAGCGACAACAGTTGCAAGGATCGCAACCCCATGCAACCCCGACACGCCTCATCACTGTGATTGTTGACGCCTTTGACATGCGAGAAGAAGATCCGAATCCAAAAGCGACGACAGTTGCGAGGACAGGAACACCATGCAGGCTCAACTCCAACGGACCCCATCCCTGTGATTGTTGGCGCTTTTGAGACTCGTAGGCCCGAAAAAGACGACAGTTACAGGGATCGCGACCGTCGGGAGTCCAAGTGAGGTCTGACACTCCTGGGACACTCGCGGACGCTTGGACGCTTCGCGGACACAAACGCAACGATTTCTGGTCACCTCCCGACCCCTGGACCCCAACCTTTAAACAGGAAGGGTCATCGGGAAGAGGGTAGGAGGAGGCAGAGAAGTCAGCTAAAGGAATTGCTCTTAATGCTGCCGAACTCTGAGCTACAGAGGCCATGCCCTTGATTTTCATTCAACATTTATCCGCTTCGCCGATTTGAACCGCAAGATCTGTAGCCATGCACGACCCTTTTGAGTATATCAGTTTCTGGGAAAAGCTCTAGAACAAATTCCTTGGCATGCGCCAGAAATGAAATCTTGTCCAACCATGTTTTGCCTTTTTTGGGCATGTGTCTTGTACCGGCTTCTTGCATTTCAGTCCAGATGCGCCCAAGCTGCTTAGAGCACCGCCATCGATGCTACATCTGCTACAAGCAGTGCTGCCGCATGTTACATATGCTGCTGCCATGACTGCCAGCTGCGATGTGTGCAGACGTGCTTCCAGCTCCATCTTTACACAAAGACATCGATCCAGACGTATGATGTGCCAAGCTTGCATCCTCAAGGCATCTTTGCCCTGCCAGGTTTGCCGTCATGCAGTCCAAGCTTCCTGGAGAAGCTCCTTCAAGTTCACGACAGGATTCAAATGCTGCCAAGCGCATTCTCCCCCACATTCTGGGGGCAAAGAGGCAACCAGTGGGCAGGATCTTGCAATACAAGTTTCTGCAGACGGCGTCCGCGTTCCAACCACAGGATTTTCAGGTTTTCTCCTTGTCAATTTGACTGAAGCGGAAGCTAAGACTGTGAGGTGACCGCTGCTGGAGGTGGATATCAAGGTGCGACCACTAGCTTTGAACCAGAGGGCAATATGTCTTCTTTGTCGGCTGGATTCTGATGGTGATTTTGCAAGTCTGCGCATGGTCTCAACCTGCCCAGGCCGTGAGAGCCGAGAAGTGTACGCTGAGCGCGCGTCCAGATTAAGTTCAAACGCGTGCTGCCCTTGCGGTCTGCATCCTGCGACCGTGCAGCAAGGTACTCATCTGAGTATCCAAAAGTGATCATTCATCCGCTGGACACAACCAAGGCTGAGTGGGGCTCCTTTTGGAAGCGTTGCGTGTTCTGCTTTTGCCTTGTGCAGTTCCAGCTGGTCATGAGCGAAGTCAAGACTTTCCACCTCATGGCACTCACACGCACAGCGCGTGACTTGATCGCCCTCACTATCCGCTGCTTCCATGCCAAGAAGTGCCCCCAAAAGCGATGGCCATCAGAAGTAGTATATACTGTTTCTGTGGACCGGCCGAACAGATGCCGCAGTGCTGGAGGTGCAAAGGCTTGATTGTCTCAAAACTGGGGTCAGGTACATGTCTACATCAAACATACTGCACACGCTGCTCCCAGTCACGTCCTCAGCTGGACGTATGGACGTATGGCTTCATGAAGTGGCTTTAGTGCTGTACTATCTGCTGCAACTGAGCATAGCTCTTGAAGTCTTTCAGCGCTATCCTCGGGTATGCCTGAAGCATCCTCTGGTTGCCAAGAATGCGTGGAAACCGCCATCATCAAACCACGGGTTTGACAGATGTCATGTGCATGCACGCGCTGGTGTGATTTGGTGCCTGATTTCAAGATCTGCCCAAATCTTAATCTTGGTCAGCTGCAGTCCCAATCCTGGTGCCCCACCAGTCAGTTGGCGAGCTGGTTTTGGAAACAAGCAAACTTTGCGTCTCACCAATGGGGCAACACTTGCTGGCTTCCGCTGCATTTTTTATGTGCATCTCTAACTGTCTCAATTTCCAACGCTCCCGTAGCGCCTGGACCGCATTCGGTAGGTTTTGCTGGATGCCCGAGTCTCAGAGCATTCAGGATTCTACGCGCTTGGCACTGCGATTTGGATTGGAAGGAGTTCCCCGCTAATTAAGCAACAGAAGCCGAGCTGCGGAACTCGGATGCAGCGAGCTGCACGGCATCCAAGTCATACTTGTATATAATTGTATATACACGTATTATATGCCATCAGTCCGTTCTTAAGGCGGCATGACCCAGCACACCCATAAGCTTTCGCATGGGATAGCAATGGGAAAGCAGCATGTCTCAGAATGAGGACTGAGGTCCACAGCACGCGCAGGTTATGGGATAGCCAAACGCTAATGGCAAATTATCACCAAGCTGGCGAGACATGCAGGAAAGTAGGGAAAAAGGTGCAAGAGGCCATGGAAGGGTGGCCCCCCGGCGCTTGCTGAAGCAGGAGCTAGACAAGCTGCAGATGAACAGTTGTTGGGTGTCCATGATTGCAAAAGACTCTTTTCTTCTGTTGCTGCACGAGTTCGAGGCAAGTGCTGGCAGAGACTTGCAAAATTCATTGATGCAACCGGATGAACACGAATTCACACGGGCAAAGGGCGTCTGCTCAGGTTCAAGCACCTGCTGCAGCAGGTGCCCCACGCACATTGGTGAGTTGGCTAATGAGTCAGCTGCGTTAGTGCCTTGCTAATTTTCTGTCGACGCTGCACGCCATCATTGCTTTTCAAGCAGGTGCCACACTTCCGATCACAGATGCGCGCTTGGATGCGTGCATTGTTCTGGAAACGCTGGCGAAGGAGTTTCACATTGTTGCTGTTGCTAAGGTGGTGCAAGCCCTATCCTGTGTTTCCCGTCGTTGGCTCCAGCAGCAGCAGCAGCAGCAGCAGCAGCAGCAGCATGGAAGCAAAATTCAATCTAGAGAGGTCTTGGGCACTAGGATCCTCAACGCAAGTCTACGTAGTTACGCAGAATCTGCTGGACTAGACTGTTCATTGAATGCTGGCGCCATGGCGCAGCTATTTGTGCAAACCTCAGCTGGAGCATGCTGGAGACAGCTGGAGATCTGAGATTTTGTGAACGGACTTAGAGCCTCGTTGGGAGCCGTTGGGAGCTTCATTGCCTTGCTCAGCGGATGCTCTCTATGCTCAGCTTCTTTCAGATCCTCCGGATTCTAAGTGTCGTCGGCGTTGTTGAGAAGCACTAAATGTGGCCTCCACTTGCTTCGGGCACACGACCCAAATACCCACGGAATTTCAAGAAGTTGCTTTTGAGAATTGATGCCGGTCGAGGGATCCCTGGTTTGATGGTCCTTTATCCTGCTGCTTTGTTATCTTTTGTTGCAACAATAGAGAACGTAATCCTTGCTGTGACCCATTCGAATGTTCTTTCCTGACTTTGTGTTGTGGCCAGCCAAGAGGGGTGGTGTTACGACTGCGAGAGAACAATGGTGGTGCTACTGCTGGTGCTGCTTCTGCAGTTGCTGCTTGATCAGTGTACAAACCTGTTTCATATGCTACAGCCTGGACTGAAGGCAATAGAATTGAACAACTGCATGTTTGTGCTACCAGCTTGGGTCAGCTGCTGAAAGCGATTGTTCATCTTCTCTCAAGCCGCTGTTTTGAATCGTTGCCTCGCTCTTGGCATCTGCTGAAAATTGTGAAAAAGTTAAAAGTACGGCCTGACGAGCGTGCAGGCGTGCGTCCTTGGCTCCTTGACCCGCGCTGTTCCAGTTCAAAATGAGGCATGAAAATTTCACCCAGTTCTCCTGTGGCTCTGGGAGCACTCGAAGTTGTCGCTCATTCCCACCAAAATGATAAGCCGCTCGCAATCGGCCTCCGGGATGTTTGACCTGCAGCTACCGACGAGCTACATGAAAAGAGCTTGATGGTGAGGAATTTAGGTCTGCACATATTGCAGCAGTTGGTGTCGTTTCGCGGTCGTTGTTGCTAGTGCGGGCGTCGTCATTGTTGTTGCTGTTATGTTCCTTGCTGTTGCTGCGGCAGTTGCTCCTGCCACCACTGCCATTGCTTGTGTTGTCAGTGTCAGCTCTTCGCCGTAGCCACAAGTGGCTTCAGCTGGAAACGCGACGTATCACTCGCCTCAGCTGCGTGGAGCTTAGCTCTTGCAACGGCCGCGCAATGATACAGAACCGTGCATGGCATGAGGCTAACTTCTGTGATGGCTTCACAGGCCTTTGAGTGCTGTTTGGGCTTCCCAATGCCAATGGATAAGGAAGGGTTGTCAGGTCGAGGCTGTTCTGACTGGCCAAGAACCGAAAGCAGTGCAAAGCCTGGTTTCAGACTTGAAGCCTGGAGCTCGGCAACCTTTCCAGTGTGAAGTGGCTTTTCGGCTGTACCCCACTATAAGCACCTTTCAGGATGATGGCTGCGTACGAAACAGCTGCTGACTGGCGTGAGACAAAGGCTCTCAAGAACATGAGGGGTCGGGAGGGCTTCGCGAATGATTTAGCTGCTCTGGCAGAGGCCATGGACAGCGCATTTGCCGCAATGTCGTGGGATGACTCTGCAGTGAAGGCGAGATCGGTAGCGTACAGCGTGCTGCCTGCGCAGTCCACACGCGATTGCCGGGTTGGTCCAGGCGGCGCTGCCTGAGTACCTCAAGTCCTCCGGCGAGGAGCGAGCGAAGGCTCCGCAGAAAATGCAATCACGGCCTAGCACCTCAGCTTGCGCAACGCCAGGTGGACTATGCATTCAATGCCCTCATCCCGCGGCCACCACAGAGCACGGATGGCCGACAGGCTGGAAGTACCTTGCGCATCATTGCGCTTGTGCGTGACACAGTCTGCCCACAGTGCATGCAGGCAGTTATGCACACGTGGATCAAAGCGCGCTTATTCTCATACAACAAGGCGCTGCTGGAACACTATTGGAACGCTGTGAGGAAACTGATGCAGAGCCTTCCTATGGGAGGCCTTTCCTTTCAACTTCAGCCCATACGCAGCCTGAGCAAAGTGAGCGATCACCAATGGTGTACTTGGCCGCCTGTTGGTGCCTAAATATGCATGAAGGACGGCAACAAATCTTTCGCATTCCCATGCTATGCTGCGGCCAAGGCATCCCGAATGGATTAACCCACCTAGCGGACCTAGCAGTTTGGAATGGCACAAGCCGCGCATTGAGTGATGGGACTCCAGCCTCCAGGCTTCCTGGATTGAAGCGCAAAAGGAGTCGTGTAATGGCGGATTGCAGGCATTTTCAGAACGACTTAGGTGCCATGATTTGCCCCCGCCAAGGTGCAGCAACAGCATGGACGGATGATATCCGATAATGCTGCAATCCTTGCGTGCAGACCTTATTGGCTGTGCAAGCTGGCTGTGAGAGCATAGTTAGACACAATTGGGAATCATATATGCTCATGAATCATGAAGAAGGGTTTCAGGCACTGGGAGAATATGTTTGCATATGTTTGACACTATGGAATAGTGGGTTGGTGGATGTCGCCAAGTTCTGCCAAAAAATGTGGGGAACATCATCTAGGTAGTGCTACTTGAGCGGTACAGGTTTCTAGAATGTGATACAGGGGTCCAGGCTCAGAACCCAACCCGACACTCGGACAAACCATTTCCTCATGATCGCGCTTGGATGCGCCCTTCATACGGCTGGGGCCATGCACGAGCGATTTGTGGATGTCATCCTGCGCAGCGGCCATAGATGCCAACAGTCTTCTCGACATTTCTCTGCGTAGGGGGCATGCTTTTCTTTGGGTGTTTCGATCAAATCACCAACTAAGCATAGAGCCACAGCCCCAAGAACTCGGAACATGAACAGGCATGCTGGAATGTTTCTTCGGCAATGCTTTGGCAAAGAACCACTCAAAATCCCACACGGCCAACGGAAAAATCCCACACGGCCAACGGAGACCAATCAGCGTACTCAAATCTTGGAGGTGATTTTGTCAGCATGTCCCCTACCAACTCCGTCTCAGGATCATGGCTCAATGGAATGCCAAGTTGTTTCATCTCAATTTGCAACCATGTTGCCCCGGAGGGTGAGTGCTCGAGTACGTCGCTGCTTCGCGAAGAACATTTCACATTTAGCCAGTATCATACTATACATATGGTACGCAACAGATAGATCTATCTATCTAAATATATATGTATATATATATATCTATTTACTAGCTGAGCTGTTCCCATACAGCTGTCCTTCGCACTCAAGCGAAGGTGCAAGTTCTGAGGCATCCAAAACAGCAAGTGCTATGCCATCCGTCTCCGATTCGCACCAAGCCGTCACCGCTCACACAGCAGAGCACAGTCGCCGAGCTCAGTCTGGGCGGCCTTGAGGTCACCTTGACCATGTGGATGGATCTGAGGCAAACTCTTCGTTCCGCGTAGATGGATCCAATTTCGCTTCCGCAGTTCATGTAGAATCCGTCATTGATGGAAAAGAACCCTATTGCTGCCAGTAAGCTTGATCTGTAAGCCAATAAAGCTCAATTTTGCGGCCTGTGCAAAGCAAAGCTACTATAGGTGATTGATTGACGGGATCCACGACCTGTGAAACCTACTTTGTTGTCTCTACTGGCTGCTGAGTACACTGCCGATGGTCACGCGACAGTGAAGGCGTCATCTACATGTATATGGCGATTGCAACAGCCTGCTTTACCAGCTCCTTCCCATCGTCCGAGTGCAGCCTCACCACGCGCGGTCCAACTGGCGCAGTGACGTGCATCGGTTGCTTCCAGACCATGCTACTGCATCCGCGACTTTACGAGGCATGCAAGATTGTCGGGCGTGACAAAGGCGCATACAGACAGACATAACTGACCGCAGCAGCATGGAACTGACAAGGTGGCATAGGGCTAAAAAAAAGAGGAAGCATCAACAACAAATTTAATGTTTTAAACACTAAAAACATATTGCTTGGGCTTCGACCCCACACCCTGACGGGAGGAGAACGGGAAGGAAGGAAGGAAGGAAGGAAGGCAAGAAGGCAGTAAGGCGGGAAGGAAGGAAGGAAGGGGCCATC